TCATCACTTGTACTTTCTAAAGAAATCTTTCTACAAGCAGCGGTTTTGGTTTCGAGCTGCCCATCATTAAATAAAAGAAAACAAGTGTACTCTCTGTACTCTTCTGTGCTCCTAGTAAATCATTACACATCTGAGCCTGATTATCTGGGTACACTTTCTTCTGCCACACCGAAGAAAAAACACTCAGCACAGTACCTTGGTCATCTTGCCAGTGTCTTGTCCTGTCTTGTCTTGTCTTGTCTTGTCCTGGTCATCCCGGGGCGGTATGTTCCATTGGACCTGTCACTACACTGTCCAGAGTTTGTTTTGTCCTTGTTTTGGCCAGCCAATCTGTTCTCTGGGAGTTCCTCAGAAAGATCGCCAGCTAACACTCCAGGACTTGAATGATGGGCAGGAATGTTCAGGTGATCAAGGGAGGAAAGCAGACGTAAACAGCTGGGGGTACACAAGAACCATGTCTCTGTGCAGATTGCCAGGAGTTGTGGTGTTTTGACTTCCTTTCTCTCCACCAACTCCACACCCGCAACATTTTATACATCACCTCGGAGTTTCACTGCAGTAGCTGAGGCGAACTGTGTCACCTAATCTTTGAAGACTGACATCCTCCTCACTGATTACATTATGCAGCAGGAAGCCCTTATCAGTAGAGAAAGAGAACATGAGATGAGAAAACATTCCACACACCAAACCCAACAAACACATCAGCCATTAAGTACACAATCCCAAGATATTGCCCTAGTTACACTTTTGACAGTCTGTAACACCTGTTTTGTGGATTACAATCAATTATGTTGTTGTAACACATTTCAGAAGTGGCGTATCAAGAGTTGACTTTTATTTATGGATCTGCGTGCCATTATTACTTTTTATTGTAAAAGATAGTCCCACTAATGGTTTATCAGCTTCATTAATATATAAATTAATACAGAGATCTTACTGCTTAGTGTGATCCTTTCCTTTACTGCGTTCCCTAAGCACAGGCTCATAGTTTGATACTTTAGCAGCACACAAGCCTCTGAGTATTCAGTTGTTAAACAACTCTTGGATGTTCAAAAAATGATCTCTATTGTGAAAAGTCATGTAGCTTGAAATGATGAGAACAGCGAAAATTAGATTTATTTCTTGAAACTGTCAAAATTTCACAGATAGGGACTTCCAACAGGTCATGATAGAGGCCCTGTGATCTCTCTCAGTAACTTTAAGTGTGTATTTCAGATCTCTAAATCTCATCAAGCCCAAAACTAAACATCATTGCACTTTTTAAACAGTACGATTAACATTTTCAGATTTTTGGTTATGTCTCTTTCCATTGAAAATAATGTATGGACATTGGCTAAGGTGCAAGCCTGTATTTTAAAGGGAACTGATCTTTTTTATATTTTGGGGTTAGAAAGAATCAGCATTGATGAGTGCCTTTCAAACCACAATGAAAGTAAAAAGTACACAGTAACATGTAAAACCTCCAATTAACACCACAAAATAGACAAAATGTCTATGTATGCCATGTTCTGTGATTCAGAACGAGGCAACAAAATGTGAAGCAGCACTATTATTTTGTAAACAAGCGGGCTTGTGAATACATCTCTTTTAAAGCAATAGAAATATTGTTCTGGACTTTTGTGACAGTTTTGCTGACATACTGTATACAACTTACTTGTTAACTCTGCAGGCAGATCACGTTGGAATATTTCTGTGGCTTAATGTCTGCTGCACAACCTGTACTTATTTGCTAGTCCCTCAAATTACATTAGTCATTACAGTGACTAATGATCAGAAAGGATCGCTTCACATTGCAATTCATGGGAACTCTCACTCTCACCCGTGGCGAGATTTGGGGTTTGCCATAATATGGTGACCACACAGTACGTTCGCACAGTATCCAGAATTTGTCAATTAATTTAGTTTTTTACTGAGATTTAATAACTGGTCTGAGAAGCTGGGACTGCAACTCCCTTTTAAGACAATAATAATAACAACACACTTATATAGGTTTTTTCTGGACACTCAACTCAAAGCACTTTACAGGTAATGGGGACTCCCCTCCACCACCACCAATGTGCAGCATCCACCTAGATGATGCAACAGAAGGCATAGTACACCAGTATTCTTACACAACTATCAATGGAGAGGAGTGATGAAGCTATTTCATAGATGGGGATAATTAGGAGGCCATGATTGGTAAAGGCCAATGGGAAATTTGGCCAGGACACCAGGGTAACACTTGTACTCTTTTAGAGAAATGCCCTGGAATTTTTAATGAGCACAGAGTCAAGACCTCGGTTTTATGTCTCATCCGAAGGACAATGCCTTTTTACAGTGTAGTGTCTCTGTCACTATACTGGGGCATTAGAACCCATTTTTAATGAGCACACATTTTCTTTCACATTTTAGTTGATAATGTACACCTGTCTCCAATCCAACCTCTCCTTAAAAGTCAGATGCCCGGAGGCCACCAAGTTACCCACCAATTCGCCCTATGTCCATGGCTTGAGGGCATAGGCCTCCTATCGGTGTCCTGACCCAGCTGAGTCCAGGGCACAGAGCGCCTGGTTATCCCCATTTTTTATCCCCTCTCCCTGCTTTGGACCTTCGCCTGGACCACGCCCTCCCGAGCACCAGTGCACCGTCGACATGCCCCCCTGTTCATCTACCAGCCCAGTTCCTCGTCGTCTCTTTCCCGTGTCTGTTTCACTCCCTTCCAGATTCTGCTGTCTGCAAGGGTCCTGATTAACACTTCGTAACATATGGCAGAGACACTTTAGATGCTCAGCAAAGCTGATTGCTAGAATTCAAACATGCTGATCATTGGCTGTATTTATTACAAATAAGTGTGAGTTTCTTGTTCCAACCAATTCATTGCTTGACAGAAAATGCACTGAGTGCAAGACCAGTCCTGGAAGGCTAGACACCAGAAGTCTAGGTCTCTTTAAATCAACAGCTAAAGACCTTTGATTTAAAATGGTTAAATTGCTTAAGTTAACAGTGAGCTCTACTGGGTCATTAAAAGCAGAGGTGGAATGAAAACCTGTAGACATTGTGCCCTATTCAGTTAAGCATCATTTATGCTTTCCATAAAGGAAAGTGGTTGACAGCAGATTTTACACTTATCAGTGTGAAATAACTACCTACAGTGTATATTAAAGATTACAGCAGAAAATGTATGGCACTGTCAGGGTGCTATCCACAAATCCACATCTTGACAGTCAGCCAGGTGGCGTACCTAAAAAATGGAAATATTATAATGGGCAGACAAGTGGAGTCAGGTGATTTTTATCTGACTGACAGAGCACATTTGAAAATGAAGCCTGAAAATTTAACAGATGGACAAGTTAAGCTGTAGGTAATATCACGGCTTTGCGGAGTGTAGGGCTCAGGGGATGATTTTCAAAATAAATACTGTAGTTGTGGTTTTGACCTGTTTTTGACCATTAACTGGGCCAGTTTAACAGCTCCTTCCAGCACTGCAGGTGTTACTGCTATAAGGACCAAGATTAGGTAGTGTGGATTATTTATCATACTGTTAATTCCTTTCTCAGTTTGAGCCCGTTTGGAATCAGAGATTTGAGGTGTCCTTTATAGCAGAAAAAAACAGCACTTTCATTCCTTATATGATGCAGGTTTTGACTGACCTGGCTAGGACACATTAAAGTAAATGTGCTTCTTCATGAAAACAAGCACTTTCCTTTCCTTAGTCATACGGGTAAGATACCAAACGACGTACTGTACGCAGAACAAAGAGTGAACTAACGGACCTAACGGCTCGTTTACATGAAAGAGGCGCAGTTTTTATTAGAAGCCACAGGAAAAACGAAACTTTGAGAACATAATTAGCGGTAAATGTTTGGCAAGTGGAAACACATAGAAAAAGACAATATGTTAAAGCGGATGTCACTCTACGTTCTGGCAATTGAAGAAAGATACCAGTTTCACCTATCGTTACTGCCTTTTTCTAACTGATCATATTGGGATTTTAAAAAACCCGTCACTTTCAAAAAGGGCTGAAAAAGCGCACAGAATGCAGCACATGCAACTCGTTATTTACCAACAGGCTGTGGATTTGAAAGAACATCAGATCAGAATTATGTCTGATTGAAATCAGTATTTCAATACAGCTAGATTTGACCATAGTGCTTTATAAAAGCAATCACAGTGGTTTTCACTTTTCCAGCCTTTTTAAATTTGCTCTATTCTATTCAGATTCAGCTTAAACTCCTCATGATTGGTCTGATCTTACGTGCAAGCAACTACACACATATGTAATACTTAAATGAAAAAGAAAATAATAAATGAATGAATATAGAAATATAGAAGATAGAATAAATGAATATCAGATAGAAAAAAAATCTATCGGGAAGTATCAGACAAAACGTCTACTTCAGCCATTAAGGAATAAATTATATTTATTTCTAACCTTCAATAGTCTAGATAGGTTCAATCTATTATAAAATATTTAACTCCCCTTTTTTTTCTTGTGTTGTTTATGCCTATAACCACATCTTGACACAAACCCATTAGTTTCAGTAAACAAGAAAAAGATTGTACTACAGTATATAGCAAAAACCTTTGAACTCCATCAGTCAATCTCAAGAAACAGTACATAGCTGTGAAAATGCTAATGTATACACTTTTTATCAGTTGCAAGCCATATACATTATGCAGCATGTTCAGATTAAATTGAGTCACAAAATTGCAACTTCAATGACTGTACCTGAAAAATAAAAAATGATCAAACATTTTACTATTATCACAGTGCTTCCATATACAAATAAACAGCCATACCTGACAGAAGAAATAATCTGCTGCACAACAGGTTTTCAAAATAGATTGCAAATGTATGTTTGTTACTTGGACAATTTCTTGAATTATTCAATAGTCAGAGGTCACATTTGCTGTTCAGTATAGGGTACACTCTGAAACTCATCTTAAACTGCCACAGGGAGGGACTTACAGGGAAACTGAAACTTAGCGTCCCTTTAAAAGAACAGTAACTACCAGGCAAGCTCTAGTCTGCAAGGTGGGAATCTTAGATAAGACCAGCAATGGCTCATTTACTGATAATTTCAAGCCTTCTCCTCCAGTCAGTTGTTGGTAAGAAATCTGTTTTGTTGTGTATTTTTGTGAGCTGGATCAGAGCACAGAGGTGCTTGCAGTAATAAGGTTTATATGGAGATCATATGTAGTATTGTTTGAACGTCTGATAAATATGATTAAATTGAAATAGCCCACTCCTTGGCACACTGCTGTGTAAGTAACTACACTTAAATATATACATATAAACTGCTGTGTAAGTAAGTAATGTAAACAGTTAAATCAGTAGGACTTCTTGATAGCTTAGTGAAGAACTTTCATGGGCTTGTTCACAGAGCAGTACTTTGAGGGATACTTCAAGTGATAACCTGCATTCTTCACTCAAGAAAATCCTAGATAGCCTGGATCACTTTAACTAATGGCATTAAACATAAGAAAAACATTTAAATAAGGCAGAACAATGTATATGAGGCTAATTATGATTATCAGTTTGTGAATGTGGCTGTCACTTAGTGAAAGAGAGTATTAAAAGAACCATAAGCAACATTTTTGGGTACTTTTCAAAAAAAAAAAATCACAATCCAAAATGCCCTCACTATAGTCCCTGCTTTCACTAATGTTCTTACATCTTAGGTTCTAGAGGTTCATTCTTTCTGAATATTTAGGTGATGGTTCAATTCTGTTCTCTGCTTTGACTTATAAAACAACACACACATCCTACACAGTAAGACAGCGTCTCTGGTATAAGAAGGACAAATCTTCCATAACACCTACTGTAAGACAACTTCTTCATCAATGTCTGGATACAGTTTTAAAAAGGAGATTTCATAATCCTGTGGTGTGGTCAGCCACAGCACAGGATTTTCTCAGCTACAGCTGACCTACAGTATGAATTTTGAACTACAGCCAAGGCAAAACTGAATTCAAATTATTATTGACTAATCCTTGTTAATATGAATACAATCATACACAGCTACAGTAACCAACTGTTTCCAGAATTAAACTGATATCTATTTTATATATATCATGTTTTGGATCTTGTGCATACAGTACATGAAAAATTAAGGCTTGATCATTCCTTGATACATACATACTGTATGTTGTTGAATTGTAGGATTTGCCATTACTATCATTATGAACACACATGGGATGAATTTGTGGATTCATCATGCTCAACAGCAACATCATCCAACCCAGACCCAGTTGTTCTGGGCTCTGCAGCATGAACTGTGTTCAAGATATCTGTACCATCACAGCCAATCCATACCATTGTGAAGCTGTTCCCTAAGCTTCCTGTATTGATAAAAAGAAATGTGTCCGACATGACATGCTTTCACTACTGAAACTTTTTTTAGAGCACTTCTGGATAATAAATAATGTACAGTATGCAAGCATCCGTGTTCAAAAGCAAGTTACTGGAAGTTTAATTATTGAATCAACAAGGCGTGTTCAGTTTGTTTTGGACAGTTTTTATGGTATAAGGTGCTTGATGTAAACAATTGACAGTAGCCTGGTATTGCACTTGTAAATAAGAGAGAACAATCCTTTACCAAGGGCCAAGCAAACTTTCTTGTTGCATTTAATAAATGTGAATGGCTTCCTTCTTGTCTGTAAAAGGTCTTCTGTTCTTTTGTGCTTTTTTTCATTTTTGTGTATTTGAATAACTGTATAGAGAAAATGTATTCTTGAAAGAAATATACAGTATCTATGTTTTGTTTTTCTCTGTTTCAGGTCTGTGCTCCCTCCCAGCTCCTGTTAATGTCACCATTGACTCTCTAAACCTAGAGCACATTCTCAAATGGGATCCAGGACCAGGCACTCCAACAGAAGCTCAATACAGAGCAGAATATTTCCATTTTATGTATGAATCTTTAACTTCTCCCTCAGGGGTAGGGGAGGGAGAAACATGGCATGCATGTAACCTTTTGATTAGTCCTGAACTGTCTGCTCTTGTCCAAATCGTCTCTCAAATAAATGGATTCTGTGAGCTCTCTGCTTACATGATCAAAATTTGAATTTGCTCCACATTGTTAGAATCCAATGTTAGAATTGTTACAATCGATTTTAGGGTTGTATCCTGTAAGCCCAAAGTTTGTTCAAGTCTGTCTTTGACAAAATGTAATTAAACAAAAACCAGTCTGATATTTTTTCTCTTCTTCTTGACTTTAGCAAGAACACATGGTCTCCAGTGAGAACATGTCTCAGAGTCACCAGCCCCAGACAGTGTGACCTGACAGAGGAGTTCAAGGTTATCTCCAGCTTCTACGTTGGTCAGGTCCAAGCCTTCACAGAGCTAGAAATATCCAACTGGTCTGTTTCGAACGTTTTCCACCCCAGTTCAGACAGTAAGACCAGCTTTTGTTGCTCTGTTGCAGAATTTGATATGTAGCAGGCCCTTTTTCAGAAGAGCCCCCTAAAACACCCTTGGAAAAATGTACCTGAGTAAATTTGCAATGGTATGTGTGTTGTACTGCACACCATGGTTGGACTGCAGCTTGATATCTACAGTACTTCCATGGTTCTAATACTTCCTTCTAATACTGTATTTTATAACTTACATCATGTGCTGTGTTTCTAAGTTATGGGGAATTGGACTCAAGTAATGAAGCACAGTGAAGACAGATTGGAAATATTGTAAATTACACCAAAGCTAAGTTAAAGCCACAGAAACTACAGTACAAAACACTTATCTAAATGACATTTGACATTGGTTAGCCTTGTACCTTTATTTTAAGAGGCGGTTGAAACTGTTGTTCTCTCCTAGCTGTCCTGGGGCCCCCTGAGCTTGCTGTCTCTGGCTGTGGAAATTGCCTGCGTCTCCAGATCAGTCCCCCTAAAGGAAAGAGAATGCATCGCTTTCTGGAATTTCACCACAGGTTCAAATATATCTGTGAAGTGTTGAGACTCAGAGATGGAAGCAAGGCAAGAAATGCACAATTACTACACATTTCTTTGAAAATGTATAGAGCAGCTTTTTTTCCATTTTGTACAAAAACATGCTAATGCTATAAATAATGATGTATGCAATGATTTCAAGAAAGTGACTTTGTTTTCTTAAGCGCATGTAAGCGCATGTGGTTTCTATCTTCTAAAACACCACTTCCTTTTTTAAGGCAAAGAGCTTTGAATTCAAGGAAATTCTATTTTTGCTTTCACAAACCTTGTTTTGATGTCAAACCTAATGAACATTTCATCTCCAATAAAAAACAAAGGTTTGATGTTAGTGATATCCCACTCTCCAAAGTTATAAATGGCACTGACAGAAATAAGTCCAAATACACAGCAATTGATTCTCAGTAAGTGACACTCTAAAGTGTTCCCAGAATACATTGTTAATTACAAATAAGTAAGAAAACAAGCTTTAGCAGAAACTCCAGTAAGACACAAAACATTTGAGAAAAAAATAAGTTTGGAAACATATATTATAGGTTCAACACAATAGGAAAAAAACATGTATAAAGACCAACAAACATATATAGAATAGAAGTCATATTCTGTTTATGTGGTATTTTTTAATGTATTTTATTTACACAAATATTCAATTAGTAAAATGGAAGGATGCTTATGTACTACACATAATTGGTTAACTGGCTCAAGGGCCAGTGTAGTAAGGCACAATGAAGAATTGTTAAAACTGTAAGAAATAATAACAAAATTGAAGCAAAAGCACCATAAATGGGTGAAAATAAATTCATCATGGTAAACCTTCAGAATGACCAATCAAAGCAGTGCTTAGTCTTTCATAGAAGGAGCACCAACAAAGTAAAAATGATGGGCTGGACCAGAGGAATAAGTGTTTGCTGTAGTGCCTTTTCTCCTTTTTTATAGTTCACTGTACAAGTTGTGGCTTCTGATAAAGACATAATTATTGAATATTTGGAACCTGGCACGGAGTACTGCATCACTGCGAAAATGCAAACTGTTTTCACTCGCCACTCCCAGACATCCCAACCATGCTGTGCGTTCACCAGTCCAGAGCCAGTCAACACAGGTACAGTAGCTTCAAAAGTGTTCAGAAGTCCTGCTAATGTCTGACTGTTATTTCAGCTCAGCCCTACTGGGACGAGAAATAGCACAGGAACTGCAGGCTGTTCTTTCCTTGGTCCTTAGTCTTTAAAAGTGTGTCAGTGACTTTAAATACAGCAGTGACTCGCCATAGCATTTAAGCAGGAACTGCTTTTATACTAAAAAATACATTAACAGTTAAAATTGTGTTGCTCTATGTACAACACCAGCTGTAGTTTTAAAATAAATAAAGCTCCATCTTTTCTAACATATTACCTCATTTACAGGCTTCAGACATATGTTCCTGTTTTTTATTGAAACTGTGTTGTTTAATAGTTTCACTGTTATGCCTCAAAAGGCACTTACAAGAAATAGATCATGCTCTTATATACAAAGACTCAGGGCAGGTGTTAAAATGCTGGTCACAGTGACCCAAGTCACTCAAGGAGTTCACAGGGGTGCAACTTGAGTTAGATTTCACTGATGTATCTGACATTTCCACTAAACTTATTACAAAAGAATTACATTCATACTGATCAGAACATTCCTAAGTATATTTTTCCTGTGTTTTTTAGACTGTTGTACCTTACTCTTGTATTTCTATAAAAACTATTATTTTAACATAGCACTTCCTTATCTCGTATGTACTGTAGTAATCAGACTTTAAGATGAGAACAATCATTTCTAGTCTGTCAAATGCTGTGTATATGAAAGTAGTAGTGCACTGTGCTGGTTTTGCAGTTCCAGTCACGCTGGGCCTGATGAGCCTTGCTATCTTGCTGACTGCCCTGGTTTGTGGTTCCTTCTTCTGCCATGGCTTGTCATCTTCTCTCAAGAAGCGTCTTCCATGGGTGCTGGTAAGGAGGAGCCATCGGCACTGCTGAGCATGCTTTCACTTTCCAGGTGGCCCAACTTGTGGCCTCTTTTGAGGGGCCGGGCGCATCACACACAGACTGTGGGGGGAAATCTGCAAAGGGTCTCGAGGGAAAATTATTTCATTATAATGGAGTTGGGGAACTGGGGTACCAACTATTCTTATATCCAGTAGTCCTGATCTTTAAAGTAATACCAGTAATACCGATTATGATGCATGTACATACATGTCACTGACAGTGCCTTCATGTTCAATAATACAGACAAATATCAGTCACCCAACATAATCAATCCTTTTACTGTACTGTTTTGTCTTCTGCTCTTTGTTTCACCTGAGATCTCTATTACCCAGGCTTAGTAAGTGTACAATTGAATGATTCTGAATCAGAGTTGTATCCTTTTTTCCCTACAGTACTTGGTTTTAGCTTGGATGTGTTTTATTACATCACTTTAGTTGAATGGACAGATGTGAGAGATATGTTGGATCAAACTGTTTCTATAATTCCATACATTCTATATTATATAGATTTACTGGTAGCATGTCTGCTACTGCTGCTGTTGCATAGCTTCTTGGTTTGATTCCAGACTGAAGCACCTTTTGTGTGGAGTCTACAAAGTCATCCAACATTCCAAAGATATTCTGGCTTCTGGCTGTGTTGATTAGGCATTTCTGAATTATATGCACAGGTATGTGTGCTTGCCCATTGATGGACTTCTTCACATTCAGGCTGAAGTTCCACCTTAAGCCCTGTGTCCATAGACTACCTGGTTCAATAGCTGGATAGCTATAGATAAACATTTGTTTTTTCTTGTTTGGCATATAATGGACTCCATATACAGTGGTGTGAAAAAGTGTTTGCCCCCTTCCTGATTTCTTATTTTTTTGCATGTTTGTCACACTGAAATGTTTCAGATCAAACAAATTGAAATATTAGACAAAG